TTAGAAGTTGTAATCATCCCAGAAAAGATAAGGATAAAGCTTGCCAAGAGCCATCTTATTGAAGATCTTTCCAATCAACTTTAATAATGTGTATACCTCTACAGACCATAGAATAAAGGCAATCCCAGATATCTGATAGGTAAATCATCTATACTAAACTGAAGAAGCCTCAGAATATGGCCTCTAACAAGAGTAGAAGTCCCAAAAAAGAGAACCTTACTTTTATTATCATTAATTTTTGGCTTGTTACCTTGCAGACATCATTGACCGTACATTTAATAGAGGAAGCTGCTTGAAATGAGGCACCATAAAAAAATATGGGTATCATATGTGTAGAGAAAGTGGTTGACCCCCTAATTATATTTAAATGGAAAAGCAAGAGGGAAATACTTAGTTCACAATTTTGCATCTAACATCCTACTAATATAATCCATAAGAAAAAGAAAGAGGTATGGAGATAAATAATCACCTTGACAAAGGCCATACTTTCCTTTGAAATATCCCATAGGGGAAAGGAAGGGGTAGATATGCAATACTATATCGTATAGCATGAAACCCCGAGGCATGAAATCTATCAAGGTTGAACTTCTAGGTTACCCAATCATATGAACATGAAATCTATCAAGGATGAACGTCTAGGTTACCCAATCATATGAACTATTGAGATGTAGTTGAAGGCATATTTTAGGTCTAGCTAATGCCCTATGACATAGAGAAACCAACTCATTTACCATGAGAATATTATCTAATATCAATCTTCTTTTAGTAAAAGCCATTTGACATAGATGAGTGAGACCATCTATAACCCGCCTCAATCTGCTTGTAGTTATTTTACTGAAAATTTTATAAAAGACATTGCACAACCCAATGGGTCTAAAGTCCTTCATGGTAGTCACGGAAAGGAATAAAAACGTAGAGTTGATCTCTTTCAAGAATTTGTCTTTCCCAAAGAAGTCCTTAAGAGCAAGGAGAAGATCATATTTGATGATTTCCCAACTAAATTTATAAAAACTAACACTGAAGCCATCATGACTTGGAGCACTATCCAGTTTCATGTCCCACACGCACTCCCTTATTTCCTCAATAAAAATTTATCTTCTAAGCTCAAGGCACTATTCAGTTGTGACTTGCTCTGAAGGGAGGAAATCTCCAACAAAATAATCCATAACAGAGCTATTAAGATCATCACTTGCTAGAAGGTTCTTAAAATAAGCAATCATATGGGATTCAATATCCTTGTGATCTGAGATTAAAATACCATCAACATCATCTTCTAAGTAAATAATTTTATCATTCCTCCTTCTGACGATAGTAGACATATGAAAGAATCTGGTATTGGACTTAATATCTTTTAACTATATCTCTTGTGACTTTTTCCTCCATATACTTTCTTCTGGAGCCAAACGACTCTGAAGTTGGGATTTGAGCTGGGCTTCATCAAAGGCACTAGACGAATCACCTAGATTAATAATAATAATTTACTATAGTTTAGATAATTTACCTTGTATTTCCCTTATTTGAAGATCAATGATTCCAAAAGAGGTTTTATTCCATTTAGAAATGTCCTCACATAAATGCTTGATTTTAGAAGCATACTGATATGTAGGTTTAATCTCAATTCTTTCCTTTTATGAGCATACCCATATGTAGGTTGAGTCCCAATTCTTTCCTTCTATGAGCACTTAATGAGGTTCAGGAAATCAGGGGCATCTTCCCACATAAAGAAATAGTTGAAAGATTTAGGCCCAGGAGGAGAAAGAAAAGAAGGAGATACAAGTAGGGGAGAGTCGTCTGAAGTCCCCTTAGGCCCTATTTTTTCTTGCCTAGAAATGGGACTCCCTAGGAAATGTGTATCATGGAATTGGTATCTCTTGGAATTGGCCTTTCTTGGAAGATGGGTGTATGCTGTTCAGATAAAATTTGAAAAAGACCTTGAAGATGCCTCTTTATTGTTTGGATTGCTTGGAAGATGTATCTTCAGGAAATCCAAAAATTTCATTGTATCATTATTTAAATAAAAAAAAAACCATTCTCGATGTTGTGATAATTGTACTTGAGAATTGTTTAGGTCATTCTTTTTAATGTTTAGTTAAGTAAGGAACAAATAGTGACATTTCAAAATTGCCAACTCTGCATTCCGATATAACAACAACGAAAATTTGAGGCAAATAACAAGTTTAAAAATCATATATTATTAAAATGAATAAAATTAAATACTTTGATGGGAAATGATCCATATAGTCTAAGAATAAATGTGCACTGGGGAACTCCACCTTTAACTGTGGACTACATACCGACCCAGCGTTGCCCATAACCCACAGTCCATGCAGGAGATCATTAGTGGGTCACCAAAGTTTAGCCAATGGACAAGGGGTCGCAGTCCCAGTTTATGGATTTCAGCTAGAGACGAACCAAGGTCGCTTAGACCTTGATGCAATCTAGAGCTCAATGGTGCATAGGGGTATATATCGCATATGCACACGCTTCACCCTGAAAGGTGATTTGCTTTATCCAAAATGGCTATCAATGTGCATGCCGTGTGATGGTACAAATGATGAAACGTTGGCCCCGACTCTGAAGGCCTCCATCACATACAAAGGTCACACAATCTCTCGACTATCATCCGAATATACTCCGACCTCATCAAGGGCTAATCCACTAAACCCTTATCGGTTATATCTTTATGCCCAAGTACCTTGGGTTTTTTCCAACCAGACTGATCTACCACGTTAAGCACAATCCAGTATTAGCGAACAATGTTTGCTTAGAATGATCTAGATATGACCACACTTCCACTGAGTTCACGTTCTACTATATCAATAAGTTCATGTACAAGCACTCATAAGACCATTAATGGCCACACTCACCCAACATAAGTAACATCAGAAGGGATCTTTATGGCATTAGGAAAGTCCTATAACACTATCTTCTAGAATGACAAAAACTATTAAAGAGGGAAAAAATTTACATAATATGTCAACCTTATACTGTAGAAGTACGACACATCTTAAAAATATATAAAAAGAAGTTGTTTTGACACTAAAACATCCTTGATCATCTCAACCTCAAGATGTACATATATGGTAAAAAAAAAAGAATTTCAAGTCCTAAATATGATGCATTCTGTCTACTTTCAAGATTTTAAAGCATTTATAGATTTACTTGATCTGCATTATTTTGGAATTCTAAATTTTATAATTAGATGTTACATTAATTTTCAAGCCATCATTGAAATTTTTGATGCCAAAATTATAGCTTCGACGAGGTTTAGAGGTACGCCTTACTTGTCATTGCAATGCCTTCTAGTAGGAAACTACAGGACCCAGAGCCCCTCTCTCATCTATACCATAGTGACAAAATTAATTTCCACGTAAAAATATGTTCATGCATCTCCATCAAAATTCTTTACCCAATGCTGAATTTCGTTTATTCAGGTGGTGGATTTCTTAGTCTACATGGGAACTCTTCTCTACGGTTGAAATCAAATTTTTTTTTTTTGGGGTAATTAGTTGAAATCATTATTCAAAAGTAATGTTTCTAAGATCGCCACGGCCAAGTCAGATACACCCAAACAAAAAAAAAAGTAAAATTGTCAAATGGTAAAAATTATAAAATAATTAGTTAAAAATTTGGAAAATTTAAAGGAAAAAGCTTATATAAGTGCAAGGCTTTAAACAAGCAAATTAGGACACACCTCAAAAATTTCAATAGAAGAGGATGTTTTGATGCTCAAATATCCTCAAATTGGTCATATCGACGTCAAGATGCATGGACATGAGAAAAAAATGGATTTCAAAATTTGAAAATAGTGCATCTTGTAATGCGTTTTTGGACTGTCAATTTTCAAGATTTTAAAGTTTTTATAGATATGCTCAATCTACGTTATATTAAATTTTACAATTAGAGATGGAAATGTATTTTAAGGCTATCACAAAGATTTTCAGTATTGAAACCACATTTCTCGACACTATTTGAAGATGCACGTTGCTTTGATTGCTTAGAGGCTTAACCATATACAAACCGCAACCAAAGTTAAAAGAGGTAACAAAATGCATTAGAATATTAAAGAAGATAAATAATTTTATAGAAGATAAATTATTGAAAAACATGATATATACCTTGAATATTTCAAAAATAAAAAAGGAAAAAAATGAAAATTCTGAATTCTTATTCAAAACCACTAAAACATCTAAAAACATATTACTAATTAACAGAATTCGAAACCATTAAAACATCTAAAAACATATTACTAATTAACTAACATGTCGGTGGTTTCTATTTTTTTGTACTTCCAACATTTTTTTGGTATTATTTTTTGCTTGGGCCAAATCTCCTCCCAACTCATCTCCCCACAAGTGCGAGGCCAAGTTACTCGCCTCAGTCGGAGTGGACTAAACGCTGTTCTAGATTGTGAATTCTTGTTCTTCTATTTTCTCTTTCTCTTTCTCTTTTATGGTAAGAAGAATGATCCATCCAATCAATGGTGCCGAGAAATCCCACTGATTATGTAAAGCCTCTTCTGTTTTTGTTTAATAAAACAGGCCTGGCCCGATATCCTTACTGATTCACCCCAAAAATAAAACTAGTGACCGAGAAATGAAGATATGGCTGGTATTATGCGAGCGATAATCTTCATATCACGTTTAAGTTTAGAATGGACCTACATATGAATGTTTACATTCTTAACAAAACATGAAGGGAGTGTTGAGCTGGTGGGGTTTTTATTTTCTTTTCTATTTCTTCAAAGTTTCAAGACCCCGGAGAGAGAGAATAAAGAAAATAAAATGACAAAAAGGGAGGAGAAAATAAATCACAAAACTTAGATGTTCAATTTAGAGAGAGAGAGTAAAAAAGAAAGGAAATAAATCACAAATAGATCAATTCCTACTTAGTCAAAAGAAACTTATTTGTTCAATTTAGAGAGAGAGAATAAAAAGGAAAGAAAATAAATCACAAATGGATCAATTCCTACTTAGTCAAAAGAAACTTATTTGTTCAATTTATCGACAACATGTTTCATGTGAATAATCAATCCCCTCTCTCTCTAGAAGCTCCCTCACTCCTTTCTCTAACTCTTTCATCTCTCTCATCAAACCCTCCATGCAAAACCCCAAGCACCCCATGCACAAAACCAGCTGCCCCTTTAACTCCTCCCCACTGAACCCAACACCCACCTCACGCCCATTCTCCAAAAAACTCTTAGTCATCTTTTCAACTTCCTCCTCATCCATTGTCACACGTGTGACACCTCCTGCTTCCAAATCCCCACACGTGCCCACCCTACCAAACTCATCGCTCATTTCTTTCAAGGACCCAACCCCCATAACCCCAGCTAGGCACCTCAAAACCGAATCAGCCGAACCCTTGAACCACTCGATCTCCGAGCCCACCGGTTCGATTAACGAATCCACTTGAGCCCCATGGGCTCGAGCCACATGAGCCAACTCCTCGAACCCAGAAGCCCAAAAGCTTAAAAGCTCAAGCATGGTGCAGAGTGACCCCAAAATTTTGGTATAAATGTCGCTTGGAAATGGGAAAAACCAGAAATCCGGCTCATTTTTAGCTTCATCAACAAACTTCCTTAGTCGAAAAATGCAGCTTCTAAGCCTCTTTTCATCTTCTTTATGGCTTTCTCGATTTTCGAAGAGGACCGACAGGATTAGGCCGCTGAGCTCAGTCATGGCTCGATCCAACTCGAGCCTAGCAAGCCTAGTGGCTCGAGTGGGCTCGATCAGGAGCTCGACAAATATATAACAGACGACCCCAATAAAGGTCTCAGTGATTCTAGCTATGGCGAATTCAGGTGGTGCACCGAAGTTTCTTCGTCCGAGAATTATAACTGCACCAATTAGGGCTGATAAACTACCAGCATAGCCATACATTTTGCTATCTCTTAGAAAGCTTGTGAAGATCACCCATGGAATTAAGGCGATGTAACGAACGGCTGGGATCTTCTGAGCCAGAAAGCAGCCGAGAACACCGTAGATTGAACCAGCAACTGTGCCATGTGTCCTAACATTTGCTAATTTGAAGGTTGGCTCCCTTGTTGCACCCATGCTAATGGCTACCCCAATGCCTGCCCAGTAGCCATTGTCTTTGCTGTACAAAACGCCTAAGAGGACAGAGAGGGCTAGAGAGAGAGAGCACTTGAGTGCCCAAATGGCTGATTCTTTGTTTGTGAAAGAGAGAGACTTGCAGTAAGCAGTTTTAATGGATGAATTATGGTTTTCACTTTGTGGGTTTGCGGGTTCTTCGACGGTGGGCGCGATCTTCGGTCCACTTGATTGGCGGTTTTGAGAGGGGATGGTGGTTTCTGAGTGCAATTGGCATAGGCAGTAGATGAAAAAGAGAGAGGAGAGATTGTGTAGAGAGAGAGAGGTGGGTTCTAAGGTATGGTGTAAGGTGTAGAGAGCTTGTTTTGCAGTTTGATGTGTGGAAGGAGAGGGTTTGTTGAGGAGGGTTTGGGTGGTGCACTCAGTGAGTTGGTGCAATGAGTCTTTGAGAATTGGATGTGATGTTAGAGAGGGTGTAGAGAGAGAAAGGTGGGAGCTTAGTGAGATTTCCATTCCCTTCAATGCTTGTTCTGTAGCCTTTATCATGCCTAATGTTGGTAGAGGTTCCTTTCCTGGTCTTTCCCACCTTGTAGATGCCTGTTCAACAAAAGCAACTAAAAGTAAGTTTTCTTTTTTTGAGACATTGTTGCACGAGGTATAAACCTGAAAGTATGTCAATGGAGAGAGAGAGAGAGACCCTTATTAGGAGTTGGGCTGGAAACGGAGCCGAGCCGGGCTGGGCTGGGCCGTCATCGGCCCTAGCCTGGCTCCAATCCCCATAAAGCCGGTCTAGGCCCGGGCTTCGATGATTGGGCCAAAGAAGTTGTGGACCAATGATACAGTTGAAATTATCACATGGGATTTTTTTTTTGGGCACTCAGATTGCGATCAGGAAGAAGAATTAACGAAGAGTTATTGTGTTTATTTTTATTTTTAGCCAAAGCCAATTATTTATTTATATTGAATTATTATTATTATTATTTTATTTCTTTTCTTAGGGAGGTTAAGTTCGTTTTCCTTTTTGTTTAAATGAGTTGTTATCTTTTTTTGTAGATGGTAAAGTCTCCTCTTATATGTGGATATGAACATGAGTAGAAAGGTTGACATAAGATAGGAATTTTTTGTGATTTTATTTGAAAGGAAATGAAGTAGAAGGAAGGGATTTTTTGCTTTTTATTAGAAGGGAGATCCATTAGGAGATCTAGGTTTATCTTTTGGAAATGTGGAGTTAGAAGGTTAATACAATAAAAGAAGGTGGACTTGTAATTGACGGATCATGTTTAGTGAATGAAATAACAATTATTGTGGAGAGAGAAAGCATTGCTATTGTTCTTTTGTCCTTCTTATCTGGTTGATGGTATGCGACGGATATCTTCTCGGGTCCTCACATTTATACTTTATTTATTTTATTTTATTTACTCATTATTTTTTAGTTTTTTAATTTCTCTTTTTAAAAAGTGGTTGTTTTGCTAGTTTTTGGCCGCCAGTCATTTTCAACCGTGTGACTTCTTTTTACCATTTCTTTTCAATTTTTTAATCTCTTTAAAATGCGGTTGTTTTGGCTGTCGATAATTTTTAACTACATCAACCAAGACGTGCCCTAGCCCTATCAAAGCCAGGCCAGGTCGGGCTAGATCAAAAAAGAGAACTCAAAGAAAAAAATAAAAAAAAAGCCGCAACAGGCTAAACTGGGCTGGCCATGTCGTGACCCTGGCCTGGCCTTGCCCAGTCCTTTGGCCACACTCTGTAGATCGGGCCTTATTTTTTTAGATCTGGGCCGGGCCACTGTGCTCCTTGCCACCCCTAATTAGGGGGGAGAGAGAGAGCGCGCCTTGTGGAGCATATGCAAATGGAGAGAGAGACCCTTATTGGGAGATGAACGCATGTCAATGGAGAGTGATGGTGCAAACGAGGTACCTGTCTTTGTGCAATCTTTTGGAGGAGGGTTGCCTTGGTGGTCGCTAAGGACTTAACTTTAGAGAGAGAAGCCACTACTCCATCCTTGTTCTCTGCACACATGGAATCAACAAGGAGCTTCACCATTTCTGAAACCATTTGAGCAACTTTGTCACTCTTTTCTTGCACCTGCAGTACACCATAAAACGTTAATAAACCGCCACCCAGACGGCCTTCTTTAATGCTAACTGCTCAGTCTTAACTGCCCACTTTCTCTTTCTAGGCCTTCGATGGCTAAGCCGAGAGAAACCACAGGTAAAGAGAGAAAGAATGCTTAAAAAAAAAAAAAAAAAAAAGTAAAGTGTTGCAACGGCGCAAGGGTGTTTACGTCATTTTCAGTATTTGTAGATCGTACTTCCGTGTCAGTACGATGGAAGCGGTTGGAATCCTGACGTCACGTGATTGAACGGACGTCGTTCCAAAGGAAGATCCGGTTTTCATTCCGGAAAGATTCGGCAAAAAGAATGACGGGCCCGAAGTTGGATGGATCAGATTTACAAGGAACATCCCTGAATCTGAATGGCTGGTTCAAAAGCTAACCCGACGTTGGATGGATGAGATTTACAAGGAACATCCCTGAATCTGAATGGCTCGTTCAGAAGCTAACCCCCCTCCTCCCCAACCCCGCACACACTAAAAATATTTTGGTGCGATCCGTAGCTGTAGAGGTAAGGTGCACCTTCAAATTTTGTCATGTTTATCATGGTATATAATTTTGATGTAAAATGTTTTTAGGATTATCTCAAAATCTATTTTTATATTTAATTATAAAATTTGAAATTTTAAAAATGGTTAAAATCGAGTAGATCTATAAACATATAAAAATCTTCAAAATGGACAGTATAGATAATATTTTGTAAAATGCACTATTTTTGAGACTTAAAATCCTTTATTTTTTATGTTCATACATCTCGATGTCGAGATGATCAATCAAAGGGTTTTTCAATATTAAAGCTACATTTTCCAATGGATTTTTAAGGTGCATCCGTAGTTCTACATGATAAGGTTGCATCCTTATATAAACTTTTTCCAAATTTTTTTGTAGAAGGTTGCCATATCGGAAAAATTAGGTGCACTTGAAAAATTGATCATTGAAACCTCATAGATCTATGAATATAAAGAAAAGGATTCGATTTCTATGCGGCCAAGCCTGCATATGTAGAAATGCGGGCCTATTGATAAAACTAATTTTGACATGGATTTTTGGACTTAATTTATAAGGACATGTAATATCTAATATGGAGATCATGAATATGAAACATAAATAAATTTTTAAAATTAGAAATAATAATTCTAGTAAAAAAACATTTGGATCGTTAGTTGCTATTGTTTTTAGATAGAACACCTCCTTGCATCCATCTTAAAGATGGATGCTTAACAGTTTTTGGACCGCATATGCAGTCGTATGGTCCAGCCCGCATGAGACAATTTTCCGAAAGAAAATAAGAATTTGAAGTCTTAAAAATATTACATCTTATAGCAATTTATATAAATTGTCTATTTTTAAGATTTTTAAGTGTTTATAGATCTGCTTGGTCTGTACTATCTTTTGAATTTTAAATTTCAGGTTGGACGTGGATAATAAAGTTTCGACATTTCCAACACTAGAGCTATGTTTTTCAAAAAATTTAGAGATTACACAAATGATTACCTACTAATGGCTAAAAATTATAAAAACGGCATAGAGGATGGAGAGCTACAAGAGATTATTGGAAGTTGAAATGCTAGGCTGCTATTTTTGTTGAAAATTATTCAATAGAAGGAAATTTATCAAAATACTCATGACCAGTGTTTTAAAAATCGGTGAGTCGAACCGAACTCCCCCGGTTCGACTCGGGAACTGGCACAGCCCGTGCCAGTTTTGATACAAAATCGGGAACTGCCCAGTTCTAGAGGAGAACCGCAGGTTCCAATCCAGTTCTGTCTGATTCTACCCGGTTCAGCCAGGTTCACGCACGTGCAGGCATGCAACACGCACGTGCATGCGTGCGACACGTGTGAGGTTACCTTAATATTTTTACACAAACATTTTT